ACCCCCCGAACTATGCTTCATAGTGAAACAGGTAGATTTCGAGTGTTTGTTGCATATTTTGGGTGTGGCATGCAATACAATGGAAGTGTTTCTTGAAGTCCTTGTGAATGCTCTTGTGTGACGCAGCAACATCGGCACTTTTTTACATTTTACTAAGACAAGGTATTAGTCAGCACCAAGTTTTACCGCTTTGGCTGGAGCCCCACACATCAGGCACTCTCCACTACACTAATAGCCGAATTGTCTGCTCGAAAGTGGGTACCTCGGGTCCCACACGTTCGTGCAAAGTGCGATCCCGAACTCTACGAGATTCCAGTTCATATACGAAAACCTCGGCCGACCGTTCCTCAATGGTGGCGCCTGATGCACAAAACGATGCTTGATGGCGATGTGCTGCCACTTACTCGTGCATCCTCTTACCCGGTTGCTACTTGCATTCGAAGGACTTCTTGCATTCAAGTGCAACGCATCCTGAAAGTTCTAAATGCTTTTCGAGAGCTTACATGAATACCTCGAACTTTGTTGCCAGTACGACTTTGAGGCGAAACGTCGACGCAATCCTTTGTCCTTCCACAGCTAGCAGGTTAAACAGCGCCTGCTTTTTACGGTTGGGTTTTATAAGGTCCATGCCCTTTGCCCCAAGATAAGACGAAATGCCTTCTTCTATATTCGGCCAGGCTTGTACCGGGTTACTCGGAACTGCAAAAAACACTGATGGTGGCAGTAAATAGCCGTTCCCACAAATGTTGGGGTCGCTTGTGCCATTTCTACTGTATTCAAAGATGGATGTCCTATTTGAAAAAAATAGTATGTTCAGATGAAAACAGTGAGTGGCACAAAGGAGTGTGCAGCAGTGACTCCTCACGTTGTACAGTGACACCTTTGCGGGTGCACGCTTTTATGAAATGTGAAGGTTGTCTATGTTATATAGCCCCTGCGGTGAACAGACATATAAAGAGGCAAAATCCCAAATGCAATGCTTATGGGCTCCCAAGCAGACATGAGCACACATAAAAGTGTGAAATGAAAGCTGTTGAATCGGCTTCTTATAGCGAGTTCGTTTCACGGCACTCGTGCCCATGCGTGCCCACTCGCAGCGTGGAACGGATTCGTTTCGGCCGGCGCTCCACGAGTGGTTGCACTCTCCGAGTTCGTTTCAGCGGTGGCACCCCACGCGTGCATGCACTCGCTGCACCGAGAAAATCGGGAGTGCGCCAAAATGCAATCCCGTCATGCCTCGCTCCGGCGGGGCCGGCGAGGAGCGGGAGCAGACGACGAGGGTTCGTCTGCTACGATGTGTCATGGAACCGAACGGGAAAAAAAGCAGATTTTCTGATAGAAATCGCGTCCCGCGGGCAACGAAATCGAACGCGAGCTTGAATTGTGAGTGTCTGCTATTTCACGAAGGAAGCAATTGACAACCCGCGATTTCTTTGCAGGTTTTAAATCGCTCTGTTGCCGTACGAACGCTGAAATATACCAGTGTGTAAAGAAATGCTCAGAACAAAAGCAACAGCGGCCCCCGAGATGTCTATCACCATCCGTGTGCGGGTGAAAAATTTAACATTTGTCGATAAAACTCCCCCAGCAGAAATCTCTGACTGCCCAATAAGCATCAGAGAAATTTAAAGATGGTGACTTTACCCGCGTATTGGGCAACATCATCATGTTTAACATTTACCTACGCAGCTAACTTGCCCCGTCGTATTTTGTTTGAGAAAGCTCTCGTCCTCGACGCCCTCACCAAGGCTAATATCTAATACACCTATAATGACGATCCAAATCGAAAGTCCCAGTTTCGCTGGATATTCTAACAGGCTAGTTTTAAGCCGTACCCTTTCAGTGGTTCACGCATAATACCATGCTCAAACGGATCAAGCTTCTGCTCGGGCAGCATCATCAGTTCTCTTCAGTGTAAACGGTTATAAGGATTGAAAGATCGCAACCAGCTGCTTTGTAGACAGTTGGTTGCGGAAATTTACGCCGTCTGTTACTATCTCTACGGCAGCCGAGCTGCTTGAAGACATCGCAACTATAAACTACAGGTTGCAGTTGCCAACGTTTGTAGATAAACGTTGGTAGCCGACTGCATTCTTCTCGCATTCCCACGCAACACTCGGAACAGAAAGGCGCTAGTTTCGGTTTGAAGTCGGTACCTTTTCTACAACATAGATGGCGGCAGCATCCGTCTTCTGCACTCGGTGCATTTGGCGAGTTCGTTTGAGTCCAGTTTTCCGTGCAACACTCTGCGAGTGCGATGCATTCTGGGAGAGAACTCGAACGGTGCCAGTGCGTGTGAAACGAACTCGCTATTAAACTCCCTTCTTGGAAGGTCAAACAAAATGTGCATACATACAGAAAACCTTGTAAAAAAACAAAATGGAAGAAATAAAAAATTTAAGAATTTAGGAAGTCCGAAGGGGCAGCTCGTGTACTACGGAGTCCTCGCTCAGCTGACCGTTTGAATTGGCAGCTGGCCTCCGGGGCCAAGAGCAAGATGCTGATTGGAACACCTGCTTGGCATGACCCACTTCATCAAGATATCATGAAACGATAAAAAGAAAAACCGATTCAGAGTCAGTAACGCAAACGATTATGCTTTTTGCAAGTCTAACATCTTTGGCGCAAAAGAAAAAATCATTCACATGTCAAAGTCGGACACTCGGTGCAAACCACTAAGGGCGTTGCAAAATTCAAGGTCCTCGGATCAGAAACAGTGAAAGCAAGATAATGCAGTGTGTGTCAAATTCTAACTGGCAGACACGCTTAAAGGGGTACTTCGGCAATTTTTTGAGCTACCTGAACTAACTATATTTTCTGACTCCTCGGCCTTTACTCTTTTCGGTATGCTATTTAGTATCGCGAAATTTATAATAGTTATTGCGAAATTGGCAAATGAAAATGATGCAAATACCAACATTCAAATATACCCGCACTTATCAGTGCCGTGACGTCAGTAAAAGGCAAGCTTGCCAGTGGAGCGAGCAGTCTAAAAAATAGAATATGCCAATGATTTGTTCTGTGCTGGAGCGCGAGGACTGGAGCGAGCTTCCAAAGCATTCATTTGATACCATGAAACTGCTTCAAATCAGTTGGGAACAAATTCTACAGTCCAAAGAGTGAACCTCTGCACTTCCACTGACGTCGCTTTTTCGTTGTTGCCAGTAGACTTTCAGTTTGAAAAAACACGGTGAGGACCAAAATTGTAAATTCAATAACTTCGTGAAAAAAAATTATTTAGACTTAATATTGGGGGTACTATTTTAGCGATGTTGTCTGGCGAGTTTAGCAAAATTTCAAGCAAATCGGGGACCATGAAGAAATCGCCGGGGTACCCCTTTAACCCCTTGCCTACTCGTTTTTTTCCTTTGAGGAACATACAGCAAAATTTTATTTTAAATGGGCAATTCGCATTAAAATAAGACAAAAACATTTCCTCAGATTCCAGGTATGGTGTCTTGCTCCAAATAGGGACTTCTGGTTCAAGTCCTACTGACATGCAAACACCGAAGTTGATGAAATGCTTGCAGAATTTGCATAGTTTTTATCACTCCTGCCACTGTCCGTTATAACTTTTGTCTGATTACGAAAATTTGGAAAGGCTGAAGTATTCGTTGTCACATGTGATATGAGAATTAACCACATTTGAAAATATTTTGTGTATTTTTGGCAGCTAAAGCTGACCTCCGTACCAAAGCCAAGTTGTTTTAGCGCAAATGCTTACAAGCAACTGCTTTTTTTTTTTCTTGGCCAAATGAAGCATTCTTTTTGTGTTAAACAGCAAAAGAAATGAGCAAACAACCCGAGGTACATGGAGCAGCAGGGATGGTTTTACCATCTGCGGGGGACCGTATCACTCGTGCCACCCCTTATGGTACATAAAGTTCGAACACGAGACACACTCGTGTTCGAACTTTATGTACCATAAGGGGTGGCACGAGTGATACTTTTTATTAGTAAGCAAGGGGTCAAATGATCTGAACAGCAGTCGGGAGCCCGAAGCCCGACCAGGTTATGCTATCTCATCGTAACATTCGATTGACTTGCGTGCCGTCACCCAGGCCACTGGTCCAGGATGCGGGTTGCTGCCTTTCGGCTTGGAATTTCTTCGCCGTTACTAATGAATCAACAAAGAAAAAAAAATCCCATCCTCATCGCCACATAGTAATTTTAGGGTATGTCCAAGCGCCTAAGTTGCGACTGAAGCTAAAGATGGCTCGGCACCCGAGAAAGCGGGACCAGCACCCGTAGCTAGCCACCCAAGGGCGCGATGTGCCGAGGCACGGTAGGCGAGGGCTCTCCTAGCCATGGCCTCGGCCCAGACAGGAACCGATGGGGGTCGTAGAAGGCTGCACCGGGACGAAGTAAATGAGATGACCGGTTGGGACAAATTCCAAAACAGCAACCGTGCACGCGGAGCGTGCGCCTTCTTTTTATTTACAGGTGTGACGTCATAATCACGAGCCACTGTACGACCATACAGTGCCGTCATCTCGGAACTATGCACAATATCAGATTACTACACTTCCTCCCTTCGGCGCCGCTTCTCGTCAGCCTCGTGCATGCAATCACAGCTAAAGCTCGTTGAAAGGCAAAGAGCATGTTCTGAAGGCCTGGCATTTGAAAGTGATGCCCTGCTATTCCCCACTTGTGAGTGACTATACTCTGTTCACCCTTAAGCTGAGGCTGCAGCCAAAGCTACAAGGGCGAGCTTGCCTCCACTCTTGGTTTTGAGACATGCATTTCTAGCACGAGCGCTCATTCTGCAGAAGAATGCTTCAAAGCAGCGATATCGAGCTCTCGTGCTTGTGGCATTGGCTGCAATCTCAGCTTACAAGGTCACGACCCGTGACATCACGACAAAGCAAATCCTGGTCGTGACGTTGTGGATGGAAACCACAAGAGGGCACCACCGAAGCATCTTTGCACTAATAGTATAAAACAAACTGTGTCTGCTGTGTATGTTTCACTTACTATATTGGCATCTACGACCTTCCCAGGCAAGCCCCCTGTTACCCGGCCATGGTCTTCACTTGAGCCGGAAGCAAAGCCTGAAGCTAATCCTGAAGCCAAGCCCAAAGCCAAGCCAGGAGTGAGGCTAGAAGCGAGCCTACAAGCCAACCATCCAGCAGTCGTCATTCTCTTGGATAAGGTGCCCTCCAACCTGCGAGAGGAGTGCCAGTCCTCTCTGGGCGCCTTTGTCGAGCTTCCTTCTTGCTCTCATGGTAGGTAGGGAGCCTTGCTGCTTTGTTGAGCTTCAGATATTTAGGTGGCTGCTTGAGAGCTGCAGCCTTCAGCGCTAGAGTATTTCAAATGAAAAGAGCATGAAGCTCGCGTGTAGTTTGAAGTGCATGTCAGCTACGCATTTTCTTTACTAGCTTCGTTCAGTTTACTTGCACCTTCTGCACCGGTGCAGAAAAGTGTAGGGCAGTGTACTTCCGGTATGTGTGTTGAGATACAACTGGAAGTGCACCGCCGTAACTTTTTAACTCCGGTGCAAATCGAACGAAGCTACTGTTTGGCTTCAGAAGTAGGTGAAGGGCACACCGACACCCGGATCAAGCAACAATAGGAGTGTGAAAGCTTCTCTGCTTAAATGATGGATCTGTGATGGGGATTACTACCTGCCAATGATAGTTCTCTTGGGTCGGTAAGATCCACAACAAAGCTATTGGCATTCTCTTCTCCATTTGTGAAAGGGCTTTGATAATGTTTCTGCTGAAAGCTTTTTGAGTGAAACCGGACATGATATTTATGGTTCTGATCTTTGGCATGTGCCGAGTCAGAGCTTTAAGGCTGACATATGACATGACAGGAGAAAGCCACTCCTCAGTTCCCTTTTGCAATCCATAAAGAAGGAAATCTTTCCACCTTTCTATGGGGAGTAGAGCAGACTTAATTTTTGTGAGGTTCATCATTTCATCTACAAATCTCCGCTCGAGATAAGCAATTTTATTGGGCCATGTTTATTTTTAACTTATTATTTGCTTGCAGTCATTGTAAGTTTTGGTTGCAGTGATGCGATTGCTGCGGCATATGCGCCATACTGGGGCAAAACGCTTATCCTGCTACATTTTGCTACATTTTGCCAAAATGGGACGAATTTGTGCCAACATTGTGCCAAAACTTATTTTCACTTTATTAATACTATAAAAATATAATAAATCAAGCCCCACTACATGGAAAGATTGTTACGGTAGGCTTGAGGGGATTTTCAGAACCTTCGATTATCGGATCAAATAACGTTATATTTGATTCAATCTCTGTATCAAACATTGACAGTACTCGGAAGTTTCGTAATATTTCTCATACTCGTTGTCTGTTCTGGTTCGATAGCTAGCATCGTTAAATGCACTTGTCATGGTGTTCAGCTGTGAAGCGAAAATCACATAGTAAATGTTGCAATTATACTTTTTTTTTTGTTGTTTTGCCGCAGCGCACCTGCGTGTTAAAGGCAAAGCACTGCTCTAAAGAGGGACGTTACAGCGGTTTCTAAATAAAGCTACGGCTAGTATACATGACAGGCTGCAATATTCTGACGATCTATTTTTTTTACATTGGAGATTCGTCAGGAATACTTGTGTATTGCGATGAAACTTTTATCAACTGATTTATTTTTTGTGACAACTCCCTTTTAGTTATTACTTTTATATAGGTTCCATCCTTTGACAGCATAGTAAATACAGTAAATTAAATGAATTTAGGTGGAGCAGTAAAGGCATGCTTAGAAATAACCTAAAGAAGTTCAACAATTTTTTTAAGAAAGCATATTCATTGTTTACATATTTATTTTTATTATCTTGAAGTTCTGTTTATGAAATGTAATTGATGTTCCAAATCAAACGACAAAAGCTTTGTTTTTTATACCTGAATAAAAAGCTGCAGTTTAATTACAACCTTCAGAACTTAACAAAAAAATCATAAATTTGCATGTTCAAAATTATTATATACTAACATTATTTCAATGTGAATATACTGCCATAATTTAAACCCTGAGAAGGGGAGAAATAAATTAACGTACAAGCCTTTTAAAATAATCCTTGTCTCAGGGTTTAAATTATGATGTTTCCCAACCAGTTCACCTGCATACTTTTGCTCCTTGGAATATACTATTTGGTTAAAGTTTGATTTCATACCTAAAATAATTATGAACAGTAGTTTGCTCTCCCCTTCACCACTCAGCATCTTGTTACCGTGCCTTGTGCTTCTAAATTGAATTAAACTGCTGGCTAGGGAATCAAACCTGTCATGCTGTTGCACAGAAGCTGGAAGCCAAAGCAGACGTAAACACACAAATCTTAACATGATATTCAAACTAGTATGAATGAAAATGACATGTGTGCTTATGCTCCAAAATTGACTTTTGGCTGCTCCGAAAGGTGCTCCCAGAAGGCTCAGACCACTCACATCACTGTGGTTTGTCTTTTTGTTACGGGGAAGTTAGCTTGGTGAAGTAAGCTGGAGAATGCAACATTAATAATTGCAATACTTTTTTTTCTTCTAGTTCCTCTACCGACCCCTCCTACTAGGCGTCGACAGAGTCACATAACTTTTGCCGCCTTGGCTAATTTAGGTAAGCAGTGACATTCACACATATGCCTGTGTTTTGCAAAGTGTTTATAGTTTCATATTTTGAATGTGCTTTCTAGCGGTCGAAAAAAGTTGAAGTTTTCAAAGGAGTGTGAGGGAATGGCTATTATTCCAGTAACTAAAGTATGGAAACAAACAAACTGTTTATTTTCTCATATATATCTTATCATATGGCATGAGGTACCTGTGACAACAATGAGAATGATCTACTTACGTGTACGGAAACTATGACAACTGGCCGACACTTTTGTGCGTGGTAACAGTGAGAATGGTTTAAATTCTTGTCTGTGGGGAAAGAATGACTGCGGCCTAAACTCTTATGTGTGCGGCAGCAATGAGAACGGCTACCTAAACTATCTGATCCTTCGAGAGCGGCATATTCTTGCTAATTATCGCTCGTTCACAGTGTTCAATACGAGGCCAGCTCTCGTAGCTTCGACACCCAACCAAAAGTTTGAGAACAAGTATGAATTTAGCAACATTCATGTTAAAATCACTGTAGTGTTCTCCTGCCGGCCAAATACTCATAATTTGTTGTAATTAGCAAAAAGCATAAATTATCAGAATTTAAGTAAACAAATGTCTACTGGGCAGCCTTTGTAGTGTTAACATGAGAAAGCAGTATTCATGCTACTTTGGCGAGTACAAAAACATTACGAGGTCAACTCCAAATATAAGCCTTAACCCCCCTCCAAGTTCTGAACAATAAAAAAGAAATTGCATTTCATTAATAAAATATATTATTATTATTATGATTTTTTTTTTTCAGATACTATTCCTGAGATACCTTAGTTTAAGATACCCATTTCTGAAAAGGTTGACTTATATGCGGCAGGGTACGGTAATTAAACTGGCACGAGCTATATTTTTAATTCATGCTTTACTATAGCAACCGATAGTTTAAGGGGCCCTGCAATCATATTTAAGCGTCTACCTTTTTTGCGGTTTCTACGTCTTTTGGGGTTCAGGCAAGCCAGCGGGCACGGAGAGAGTAACTAAATATCAGTGTGTCATATTTTAACCGAACGATGCGGAAACCTCCTCCACCTACGGGGGCGACCCGCGGTGTTGAAAGCGCGCAATATGTGACGTCTTTGGTCCTGGACTTTCTACTGGTCAGAGCTGCTAAAAGCTTCTGTTTAGTCGAAATACAACATATAAGTGGTGCGAATTGTTTCAATTATTTATAAAATTAGTTTTTGTTCACTATTTTAGATCCGAAAAGAAACAAAGGCAGTTTAGAAAGTATGGAAACAAGAAATGACCCGTCGACATACCCACCAAGCGGTGGGAAAGGCGGCGCATACTAGAAAGGTGTGGTGGGATCAGGCACCAACGAGCGGCGAGCGTAGAAAGATCCCAGATGTACGCGGTGGCGCTGCGGTCGTATGCACTGAAGGATCCGACTCGTTCCGAGCGTTCCCAAGGCCTTCGGCAAGCAGCTTTGGCTTGCAGTTTGGCCTTGTGGCCGTATGGCAGCGCGAAGTGGCTCCCGTTCTGAACTGATCTTTACCCCGTGTTTGCTGTCGTTTGTGGCCAATGAAGTATCATGCCAAATTAGTGTTTAATCGCGCAGCAAATGCAATGCGAGCCGCCCTGGCTGCCCGCTTCATACAGTCTAGCCAGAACATGCTTTAGTGGCGCCCTCTCGAGCCTTCAACACACAGTGCGGCAGCCGTGTTTTTGTAATTTTAATTTGCCTATAACTTTCAAAACAAAGCGAAATTCGAGAAAAGAAAAGTTTCATTAAGTTACTACGTTCAGTGCACTCAGGTTCGGTGCAAATTAAAAACCAGTAAAAAAGTCCTTGCAGGGCCTCTTAAGGACCACAGGGTGTGAAGTTCACGCTTCTTGCTTTGTGATTTGCTCTTTTGAGTTCATGTCTGGTGATGTCGCAATCTTATAGGCTGTGGTGTGAGAATAAAATGCTCGGGTCTTGCCGTGTCCTGCGTTTCTTGAGCTGTCGATGACCATAGTCTACTCTTTCTCATGCTTACTGGGTCTGCAGCGCACATATCGCTATTCATGTTTCACTTTGTTGGCCCAGACCACCCCTATGCTGCGAAGGGGGTTGTCGAGAACGTCATCCTAGCCGAGGACATACCTGAGCCCCCTGACAAAAAGAAGGACCCAAAAGACATCCAGGAGGAGAACGACAGTCTCAAGCACATCAACGAGGACCTCGAAGCTCGGCTCGAGCTCATGGAGAAACTCCTTCAGGCACAAAAATTCAAGACGGCTACCCTGCAGCAGACCATCATCAACAAGTCCTACCAGAAGGACCTGTCAGTCACTGCTTTGCTGGAAGATGAGAAGTGTCTCAAGTTCTACACCGGCTTCAGCAGCAAGGACCGTTTCCGCAAGTTCTTGAAGTTCGTTAAGGGCCGAGCGAAAGGCCACGAGCCCTCCAGCGGCCGCACGGGCCGCCCGACCAGCCTGTCTATCGGAGACCAGATAGCCACGGTGCTCTGCCGTCTGCGGTTGGGATTGCTTGAGGAAGACTTGGGGTTCCGGTTTGGAGTGAGTGCGTCGACGGTGAGCCGGTTACTTACCTTTTGGACTCCACTTCTCTGCGAGCTCTTGGAGGAGATTGCAGTGTGGCCCATTCCAGAGGCGGTCCTCGAGTCTTTGCCGGAAGCGCTGAAGACGCCGGTTGCCACGACAGAGGACATCTCTCTTGAATGCTCAGAGATCTTGCTACAAGTTCCAGCAGATTGGAACGTGCAGTGCGACGCATACGAGCCGACGGTGAAGCGCCCGCGGATTGCAACGGCACTGGTCGGGATGGCGCAGAACGGTTACGTGTGTTTTGTTTCTGACCTGACACTGAGGTCGACAACAGACAGCGATGGTGCGAATTCCGGAACCGGCGGCTGTGAGCCCGGGAGGGCAGCCATTGCTGCAGGCGGTGATTTTGAAGCTGCAGACGATCCTAAGAACAGTGGGGTACGGCCCAGGAAGCGCCGTTCGGCTTGGGAGGGACGCATGTCGCAGGAAGACGAGGAGCACCAGACAAAGGTGTCTGGAAGCCTGAAGGTGCACATCAACAGGGTGGTGCATGAACTGAAGAGGTTCAAGATCCTTAAGTGCATGTCCATGTCTGAGAAGTTGAACACGACTTGGAAACTGTGCTGCTACCTAACCAATTTTACGCGTGACCCTGCTCAGGTCAAGTAGCAGCGACACAAAGCATAGCCTTGTTTGCAAACTATGCATCTGTGATATCTAGGTGTGAGTGTTCCTCTCGTGCTAGTCTCACTTGCCTTTTACAGCGGGCGTGCCTTGCAAATTTGTTATGTCTGTGGTATATTCTGCTCTTTATTCATTTGATGTTTTTCTTTCATGTCAGGTGTCGTCAGCATGCCACCAACAAAAATAAGCTCTGTTGTAGTGGTGTCTGCCTGACATGAAAGAAAAACATCAAGTTCTTTTTTTTCTGGGTGGCATGCTTCTTTGCTGAAGTGTGTTCTCACAGCACAAGACCAAAGGTATGCTCACTTCAGCATGCTAAAAACTTTTTTTGGTTTGACTTCAAATTTAGATTGTCCTCAACAAGTACATGAACTTCCTACCAAAGCAAGATTATCTTGCAGGAAATTCGCAAGCCTCCTACAAGAATGTAATTATCTTACAGAACATGATCAGCAAGATCCAAACTCAATGAAATAGCTGGTGTTATCTTTCAGATAACTAATTTCTCAAACTATATAGTATATTTCCGTATTTTCCGGGCTATAGTCCGCACCAGGTGTATAGTCTGCAAGGGCAAATTTGGGGTAAAAAATAAAAGTTTTTGTTTAGATAGTTCCCACCCGGTGCATAGTCTATCTGGTGCTTAGCTGACATAAAAATCTTCTCATACACAACATACCTAAAGAAATGTCTGTTTTTTTTATCGCAAAGGAGCTTGTATTATACACAAATCATTAACATACTTCTATGTTCACAAAATCCGTTGCGTCTCATCATAATGAACGACCTTGAAAAACAACATTCCTGCATAGTCCGCACGGGTAGATAGTCCGCAAAGCATAAAATTTCAACTTTTAAGCATGTATAGTCTGTGGACAAATATTTTTTTATTATTTATTTGGTATCTCTTTCTCTGAAGATGCAGTGTACATTCTGCAATAATTTTTATTCAGTTCATCACTCTGCTTCAATATATAATCCACCATCTCACTTCCACATAGATATTCTTATGAATTAAGTTAATCATGAAAATATCTTTGATTAAATATTTTCATTGCCATCAATTTTGTTTCAAATTCTCCTTTCGCTATTTTATTTACTCTATCTTGTCACGATGCCTCACGTGTGACAAAAATTGTAATAAACTTCTCCAGTGCTTTCCTCATGTTGTGTTCATAGACATAAGTTGTGACGAGTTTCCAAATAAAGTGATCGGCTGTTCAGGCATGATGGAAAAGGTGTATCATTTTGTCGCAGATGTTCCGGGCGTTTTTTTTCTTTGTTTTCTTTCTGTTAAAAGATGGGCAAATATTCTAAGCCAATTCCCTAACGCCGTATTGATATTAATTTTTTTTTATATCAAGGTCTGGACATTGCAATGGAAAAAAAAGCAACCCCAACAAAATAAAAGCAGAAAAATAAAACGCGAAGGGACCCAGCAAGAAACAACTAAGAAAACGGACGGGAGCTTGCGCCACCTTGCCTAAGTCTAAAAAGACAAAAACGCATAATTTCTCGAAGAAAGGGTAAAAGCACAGGCGAGCTGGTGAAGAACTTCCATCGTAAACCGGAGACACGGAAAAATAAAAAAAACGGACAAAACAACAACAAGTCTCAAACACAGCTTCTAATTTATTTGAACACCTCCGCTCTTATATATACACAACAACCCTCCTCTCCAAAGGTCGACACACCTCCTCTCCACTTCATCAACGACATCTCAAACTGAACCAATGACACATGCTACCTCCCTTCCTTTCATACCAACCAAAAACTGACCCCTTTCCAATCCAAGAAACAGGCACTCAAACCCTGCTAACAATGAAAACACCCCCCCCCCCCCCCACAAAAAAAAAAAAAAAAGTTTTACGGAACCGACCAGCCACAACTGATAACAGGCCTATCGAACAGACACGGTGTTAGCATTCAACCACCCCTCAAAAAAAAAAAAAAAAAAAAAAAAATTAAAGACATAGAAAGCGTTTCAGTTCACTTCCGAAACCCAAGGACGGTGTGCCCTCACAAATTTCTCCCTCACAAATTTCTCCCGCCCTTCAAAGACCAATTTTCTCCTCCTATCACCACGCAGTGTGGGATATCCCCAGAATGACCTTCGGCGCATCGGGCAAAAAAAAAAAAAAAAACTAAAAACGTCACCCCCCTACCTCTTCCCCCCGGCGAGGGAGTCGCCAATTTTCCTCTGGTCCACGCTCCCGCAAGTGAAGCCACCGGACGCAACCCCGCTGGGTTACGATTTCCCGTTTTGCTAGCCTTTTGCTGCGGCTTTTCAGCGTGCTGTAGACACGTTTTCTACTCGTTCGTCGTCATTCGCCGAGGAAGTTTTTTGGGACTCTGTGTATTGTTGAGACTTGCCGTTGTGAACACGTGGAAAATTTTACGAAAGTGCAGTGTCGCAGGAAGAAGGCACAACGCGTCGAAAGGAAGGGCTGGCGGCGTGTTCAAAGCTTCCTTGGCACGCCGAAGTGCCGTGTCTCTGTGTCTTCGCGCGCTTGGATACCGACCAAGAACCGACGCCGTGTGTATGTGTTTAGCGAGTGCAATGTGCGTGAAGCTGTTCGTGCCTCTGGATCAGCGTCTTTTTCCCTCGCGGTTTAGGAACGAGCTTAATCCAGCGTCCACTAGCGACGGAAGATGGGGGGGGAAGGTACGTCTTTTTTTCGTCCTTAGACGATTTACACAATACCGTGCACAACAGCTCCTCATTACTGATCAGTGCTGGCTTATTATCAACCTACTTAATTGCACTTGACGTTTGAGCGCGGCTCGCCTAATTGTAATTGGTCAACAGATTGCACACGACCATATCGGCCGCGCTTCAAAGATTTTCATTCTCGCCGTCTTGTACTTTTGCTTTCGAAAACCCCCCTGGTTCCACAACGTTGCCCTATTCGTGCTCCCACGGAATCTATTAGAGTAGATTTGGGACGGGTCCATATCACAAGAGCGAATGACATTTTAGCGAGCGGCGACATTTGAGCGAATGGTCGTTTTAGCGAATAACGGAGGCGCGCGTTAACCCATCCGTCGCGCTGCGCTTTACGCCGCTTCGCGGCGACAGTCTGCGGCAACTCATTACAAAAATATGAACTCACTTGGCCCACCCGAAAACGCCGCTTCGCGGCGTCCGGCTATTCGCTAAAGTGTCGTTCGATGAAACGTGGGCGTTCACTAAAACGTCATTCGATCAAGTGAGTGCCTCCCATTTGGGACATAGCCATGGTTAATATAGTACATAAGAACACGTACAGATCTCCCCCTTTTATTGATAGCAACTCACCGGAACAGTTGGACGATCCAGAACTCCGTGGCCGATATATATAAATGATCTAAAGGCATCTACGCGCGACACACGTTCAGAACTTTGGCGCGGCGTCAATTCTTGACCGGTATCCAAGCGTGCGAAGGCACAAAGATGCATCACTCGGCGTGCCAATGAAGCTTTGATCACGCCGCGACACCGGCGACACGTTTTCGACGAGTTGTACCTTTTGATACGGCTTCACGCACATTGCACTCGCTAAACACATTCACACGGCGTCGGTTCTTGGTCGGTATCCAAGCGCGCGAAGGCACAGAGACACGGCACTTCGGCGTGCCAAGGAAGCTTTGAACACGCCGCCAGCCCTTCCTTTCGACGCGTTGTGCTTCTTCCTGCGACACTGCACTTTCGTAAAATTTTCCACGAGTTCACAACGGCAAGTCTCAACAATACACAGAGTCCCAAAAAACTTCCTCGGCGAATGACGACGAACGAGTAGAAAACGTGTCTACAGCACGCTGAAAAGCCGCAGCAAAAGGCTAGCAAAACGGGAAATCGTATCCCAGCGGGGTTGCGTCCGGTGGCTTCACTTGCGGGAGCGGCAAGCGCGATCCAGCAATTGTCATTGAGATCAGTGGGTCAAACCTTTTCGGCGTTACCCGAGCACCGGACCCATTGGGCGCGTTCAGTAGCGCCTCCCTTGCCTCCGAACTAGGGATGTCGCGAACCACCCTAGGTTCGATTTCGAAAGGTTTCGATATTTGCGAAGCGAACTGAGGTTCGATTTCGAAACATTTCGATATTTTCGTATCGACCGAGGTTCGAATTCGAAAAATTCGCAACTTTTGACCACAGCGGAGTTTCGAAATCGAAAATTTCGAAGCTTTCCACGGTTTCTAAAATTTCGAATTCGAATATTTCGAATATTTTTTTACTTCAGGTTCGATAAAATCGAAGATTTCGAAATTCTTTGGAAAAAAATTCGAAAACTTCGAACGCTTCGAATTTTTACAGACATGAAGTTCGAACAATTCGAAGATTTCGAATTTCTTTCTGCATAAAGGTCGAAAAGTTCGAAGGTTTCGATTTTCTTTTAACGCTAAATTTAAAAAAAAAAACAAAAAAACTTTGAAGATTTTGAATTTCTTTC